CTAACAATACACTTTAAAGACAGACACCTGCTTGAACTCTTTCATTTGATCGGGGTAAGTTTTAATTTAATATTTAGATCCTCTGTTATGAATATTATTCCATATTTAAATCTGAATGTCGGACTGAAATAAACATCACTGCTATTAGCGTAGTTAATCGTTAACATAAGCGCGGCTAACGCTAATACAATGAGCATCAGAATGAAGTTTCTTTGTTAACTATTTAATGCTCCTATAACTTTTATTAGGGTGATATGATGGTATTTACCATTTTTACACACCAGAGGCTTTTAAATAAACTGTGAAACTAAAATATGCGTGTTAGAGAATGTACAAATGGTTAACATTTTTTAATGTAATATCAGTCAGAAAGCAGTTCTGGGCTTTTTTTTTTTAGCTAACTTAGTTGTTATTTTTGGCTGGATAACTCTAGCAGGTTTTAAAAGCCCTTTAAAATTAAAGTAGTCAAATTTTATCTCCTGTATAGACTTTACAATAAGATACCATTCATTCATTAAAATGACTTCATGTTATTATCTAACGTCAACTTAACATGAGTGAACAATATATTTTTACAACATTAATTAATGTTTTTGAATGTTATTTAATACAAACACTTGATCATTCATGTTTGTTCATTGTGCATTAAATAATTTTAACAGATTGAACTTCAGATTTTATGTATTAGTACATTTTTAAATTAACCCTAAGAAGAATAGTTGCTATAACTATTGTTTATTAATAGGTCATGTTATCTAACAAATGGAATCTTATTATAAAGTGCTTTTAATACTAGAGTTTCCATCTATTTGATATACACTTGTCTTAAAATATATGCAATCTTATCTAAATTTATTATAAAAGCAGAGGTTTGTTATTTACTGAAAAGTTATATTTTAGCTGGTGTCAATGTTGCATTTGGTCAGACTCAGCCCATTGCTTTACTTACGTATATTACATTTTCCTTTTACAGCTGCAGGAAGATCCTGAAACACACCAGCAAACCCTAAAACAGACAACGGTTTACAGTTGTTTTTCAGTGGCAGCAGAAACATTACAAAAACTTTTGGGTGAAACTTGTTTACTTTTTTTCATACTTTTATTACTTGCGGAAAAGCTTGAAACACAATTTTAAATAAGTATAAAGAATGGCACTGATTTTTGTACATTTTTATTTGACTTTATTAATAAAAATAATGTGTTTAATTAGCATGTTTTTGTGTTATGCTTTGGTACCGAGAACTGTGGACTTTCGTATGAAACCAACGCGAGGTCCAGTGTTTCTCGTCTGAGCTTATTATCTGTAATGTGATCACGCACACGAGCAGCTCCGCTTTTGATATGACAATCGACCACGTGAGACACGCAAACATGTAAACGCCCACATCACCTCGGAAAACTGTTCATCTCAGATACAGTTATGTAGCGAATCAGCTCATAAGGAAATATGAATAATTAATCATCCTGAAGGATATGTGTGTTCATTCAAAGAAAGGTTTTCCTATGGATTAATTAGAGTCCATTTCTACTGTGCACTGTGTCTCTTCCTTAAGAAAAAGGCAGTGATTTTCCCTACTTACATTCCATTAGGTCGTAAATGGATCTGGTCTAGCAGAGGTGTCGTGGTTGCCATGGGGACCAGGGTCCTGGGCCTCATTCACAGACAACTTGGCACCCAGTATGTTTATTGGGTGAGGGGTCTGTGAATGTTTGTTAATCTAATGAATAATTGATTTGTTAAATCAAATGAAAAATGGTGTGTCTGATTAGTCCAGACGCTACAGTTAGTTTTTGGAAGAAGGTGCGCTGAGAGGAATGAGACGGGGGTGGGTTCCTGGACAGAGATTAAGCCTAGTCCTAGACTAAAATGGACCTTTAAACCAGATTAACAGAGATCTGCTTTTTTTGTCATGGTTTTAAATCAGGGCTGGACAATAATTCAATATATATCACGGTATAATTTATCACGATATCATTTTTTAAATATATTTCTATATACACATTACCAGTGTTACCCATACACTGATTTATTTGTGGCGTCCCTCACTAAAAGGCTTTGATAGTTTGACTTCGTTGAATAAACATGAGCAGTGCATGTTTCAAAATCAAAACGCAATGCTGGTGTTCTATATGAATGCATCTTTGAAGGGAACTGACTGTCTTCAGAAAAGTTCCGATGGCATTTTCATTTTATCTGATAAAGTAGCGTTCATGAGTGTAGCGCTGCTTTGTGTACAGCCATTACCGGGGAAACCGCTGTCTCTGCTGCTCCAAAAGCGCCTGTCTCCAGAAACATGTGTTTTTGTTAGGGCTGCTCGATTAAGGTAAAAATCATAATCACGATTATTTAACACTATTCCGCGTGGGTCCGAAACTTTATATGATTGATTAATTTAAAGATAGCAATACAATAGAAAAAAAAATAAAAATTTTTTTTGGAAATTTAATGTAATTAATTTAATGTAGCCTATGATTTCTTATCACAGAACTGATAATAAACATCATTTAATAACACTCATAATAAACAGAATCAGACTGACAACATGCCAAGAAATAAAATATACCTCTCTGTGTCACAGTCGGTGGTAGTGTGAGGAACGAGGAGACCAGGAGTACGAAACCAAGGGATTTATTCTTGTCACAGAGAATCACACGTAGCACGAGAAGAAGACATCAACATATAATTCCAGACAAGGGAGAACTGAACGGGCTAGAACTAAATAGGGTAGATAACGAGGGGCAGACAGGTGATGGGGATAACTACTAACAAGGAACAGGTGATACTAATAATGTGAAAAGGAACTGGAAGGATCAAATAAAGAAAACAGGAACTCAACGGGAACATACACGTGACACTCTGGATCCTACAAAATAAATAAATAAATAAACAAGCCACTCAACAGAACATGGGGCTTAAAATGAGAACGTAATTTTTATTTATATATTAATAATATATGACTCATTTTTACAGAAATGCATACTATATACTGTACTATAATTTAAATGTGGTTTTCTGCCTTTTAAGATAGAAAAGAATGTAGAATTTAAAGGACAAGCATACATTACAGTTCCTTCAAAACTCCTGGCTAAAAAAAACAAATAAATAAAAATAAAATACAATTAATTAATTACAAACTTTTACATAATCGATAGTACTGATAATAAACATTATCAGCTTGATAATATGCCAAAAAATGTAATATAAAGAAAATTCACAACAGAAATAACATGTGGGTTAAAAAATAGATTTTCTTTCAATTAAAGTATTTTATTTTTTGGGATATACTAATGTATTATTTGTTTAAGAACCTGAACTAAAATGTGAGTTCTATGTTTTTTTTTTATGTCTAATAGTCCATAAAACAGAAAATAACTGACTGCACATCTCATCAACAGATCAGTATGTAGAATATAGTTGAAGTTTGGTTATTTTATGTAACGCTTTATCGGTTATAACCGTAAACTAGCATTCCCAGACAGTTGCAGGATGTTTTTGTGTGACAGAATGTTTTCTATAATGTAATTTTTCATCATCATGAGCTCATGTTATCAAGGACACAAGTTCATAAACAGGCTGCTAATAAAGTTGAGCTGTTTAGACGTAAACAAACACCAAGCTGACACACAAACACACGCATAGCGTAACTAATGAGTGATTTACTGATATGTACACACCTGGAAAAGCGTTTCTAGACATGATGCTGGTGTCAGATCCACACTGACGGAGTTTTTGGTGATTTGCAATGCTTTGACCAGCAGGTGCCCTCAGCCTATTAGGAGTACTTTAACAGTGAATTGTTTGATTCAGAGTTTCGAAAAGCTTCTTTAATTCTCCCATCAATAAATATCACAGTGAAACATAAAGAACATTTCCCATTAGTAATAAAAACAATAAAAACTCTAGGTGTTGTTTTATGGTGCTTGATTTCCTACACCTTCTACCTTATTTTATTTATTCTCAGGTTAGGTAAAGTAAGTCAAATCTGTCCGATCTCATAAGCATCTGAGTTTATACTTACAAAATAGATCACAGAAGACATCTGCGTGGTCTGTTCTGCTCTAGTTCAGAAATCAGAGTCTTTTGGCAGGCGAGCTTCTTAGTTATAATATAGTTTTATTGTCTACAGGTTAAACACTTTACATACAAAATACTAATATGAAAACAGAAATAAAAACAAAAGCATATAATTTGCAAGCTTGGTTGTTGAGAGGCATCAATGGCAAGGCCGCCGATTCCAATGTCTTGTGAAAGGTCTGGAAATTCCCTAAGAAGTTTCTCATAAAAAGCTCTCCATTTTCTCATTTTTCTCCTCCGTGATCTTCTTCTTTGACGCCTTCTCCACTTCGTCTGCGACACAGCATTCAATGGTAACATCCCTTTTCTTCAAAGCTCTTGCTAATGCATGTTTCATCTCTAGCTATACTCTTGCTAATATATGTTATAAACATTTGATCAATAAAGGCTTAGAACAATAACGTGTGGTGTGTCTTAATAAACCACTTTCTTAACAAAACAAATAAAATAACGTGTTCGGTTATAATACAAAAGTATTGCATAAAAGGAAAAGGCATACTTGCAACAGGACAATTGCATATTTTCTTCAACAGTGTACACAAAACATACCAAATGTAATTTCTAATGCCATCAGATACATGCAGATCTCCAAAAATCTGTAGTTCTTGCAAACATGCTGCACATTTGACAAACTTTTCATTGTTGCCACAAGGTTATGCAATAAGTTTCTGTGAAACTGTTACAATGTAATTTGTATTTTTCAGATGAGTTATGAAAAATACATCTACTGTATGTTGTCAGACAATAGACATTTTGTTCATACATATATTGTCATAAAGTTACAGATACAGGTATGAAGGACATTTACAGTCTTTTGAAACAAACACTTCAACAGAACCTCTCTCTGATATATTATATGGATTTGAGAGGATTTCAAACTGAAGTGAGGAACAGAAAAATAATTTTATCAGTAAATCAAGCTTATTTCATTTCTTCAATTAAAGGCATTTATCCAAACTCTCAATAGCATCCTGTTTTGAGTATCTTCTCCATGCATGTGGTATTTTACCACATCCCTGGAATGTTTTATTGTAGTGTTTCTCCAGATCTCTCTGGAATCTGCACACAAACCACTTCCAGTAGGGCAGTTCAGAGACATCAGGGGTGATGCTCCAGTATGCATAAACTCCTCCTGCTTTTCTGTATTCTTTCCAGAGGAATTTATCATTTCCACCATTGGGGTAAAAACATTGATCGCTTGCTACTGCTGTTGTACAGAGGCTAATACACAAGTTTGTTGTTCCTCTGTAGAAATGTCCATTAATTCCAGTCACTCTGTGGAAAGCAACATTGTGATCTCCATCATGGTTTTCTATGGTGTTTGTGCAGATAGATTTACAGAACGGACACTGAACCCAACAGCACTGACAGAAGTGATCAATCAGAAGCTCATCTGGTCTGAAATTATAATCCAAATTTACTGGAAATGACTTTGTGTTGAATCTGCTGCTGATCTCAGACATTATATCAGGAAGTTCTTGTCTCATCACATCTTCTAGGAGGTTGAAGTCCTCAACATAATCATGTTTGACTCCACTGAGGTGTTTTTCAGAGAAGATCAGCTCTTCTGAGAGCTGCTGTGTGAAACTCTTCAACCACAAACCAGCATCTCCTCTGTTCACTTGAACATGTTCAGTAGATTCACGAGCTGCTCTCATGATCTCCTGCTGCAGGCGTTCAATGTTCTCCTTCATCTTGGGTAAAACACTGACACTGAACTGATCAGTGATGTACCGCCTGACTTCATCTCTGATAAAACTCTTGTAGTGATCTCTGGGATTATGGATGTAGTTCATGTATTTGTTGAAATCCTCCTCTTCTGCCAGTGTCTTCAGGATGTGTTTCTCCAGATTTGATCTGTTTCCATTCAGTGATTCAAAGTTTGTTCTCATATAATTTGCTATATATCTGGCAGTCTTCTTGTAGACGCTCTGCTCAATGAGCTCTTTGAGTTTCTCACAGATGATCTCACCAAAAATAACAGCTGATGTTGCTCCATGACAGAATTTCAGGAAAACACTATAATACTCTTCTCTCTTCTTCTCGACATATATTACAGGATCAGTGTCTTCTCTGAACAGTCTGTGTTGGTCAGTGATCTTCTTGTTTGCTCTCTTACAGATGGACAGAACCAAATCTACAAAGAATTCATTCTTGAACACATAATTCACTTGCCCTTCCTCATGTTTTTGTCTTGTCTTGATGTAATCTGTGAGTAGCTGGATGCAGCTGATGTTGTAGCCCATCTTTGAAATGTTAAATGACTGAATCATTGTGTCTGTCTGCTGAACAACACCTGTGACGAATGATCTTATTTGAGATGCATCCTCTTTAGAGAGAATGTCATGAAACACCTCTTTATCTGATCTGTAGACCTTTGTAAAAGCACCTGCAATTCCACTGGGTTTCTTTAGTTTTACATAATCTGAATAACTCGACACAGTGAAAATATCCCTGCTCTCCCTCCAGTGATCTACAGGAAGACTTTCATAGACGTCACTGAGGATTTCTTTCACATCTCTCATTATGTCAATGTCTCTGACTGCAGGAATGTCTTTGATGATCATCTTTATCCACTGTTTCCAAAACTCATCAAACACTTTCTTCAGTGTTTCTTCATCGTTTGCTTTGTCTCTGAGTTTAAAGGCGAGTTGTTTGCTCTTTTCACAGAGAGTGTTTTCATGATGTGTCCTCAGAGCATCAATCCGAAGATCAGTTTCCTCAACTTCATGAATTGCTTCATTTTCTATTTTGTTGTATAGTTTGTTCTCAGATTCCATCATGGCACTGCGAAGACTCCAGGACCACTTCCTGTATTCAGTCTCTAGTTTCCTGTAAGCTGAAATCTTCAGAGAGTTTCTGAAGCTAAAGACAAATCGTTCATTCAGTAAATCCTCCCAGAGATCTTTAATATGATCTTTGAAGTCATTCAGCACTATTCCATGTGATTCTGAGGCATGAGACATTATAGTTTCCTTTAGTTGTTGAATATTCTCACAGTATTTTGGGTTTGGTGGAGCCATCGGTGGGTTTCCCTCCCAGAGCTGAGAAATATACTTCACATCTTTCTGAACATCAAACCTAATCACATCACTGAAACATTCTTCATCATAGACTTCCTCTTTAGCAGCGAGTTTTGTCATCTCATCCAGTGTCTCCTGCAGTCGTCTCCTTGCCTTCATGTTTCTCTCTCCAGCTGTGACGTCTGAAACGTTCTGATGCACAAACACACAACTGGGATTCAGTCTGACCTTCTTCATCCTCATGAAGGCCTGAACAACAATCTGAAGAATGTCCTGCATCTCAGCTGTGTTTTCTCCAAAGATGTTGATCAAGGTCAGATTTCCAAGACCAACAACAAATGTGGCCAGTTCATTGTCATGATGTCTTATTGATCTTCCAGCCAGTTCTAGAGCACGAAGACCCTCAGTATCAACAACCAGAATATAATCAAAGTTCATTTCTGTTTTCATCTTGTCTGACATTCTGAGCAGCTGCATGAAAGCTCCTCTGGTGCACCTGCCAGCACTGACCGCAAACTGGAGTCCAAACATAGCGTTCAGCATGGTGGATTTCCCAGAGCTCTGAAGCCCTAAAACTGACAGCACAAAGACTCTGGTCTCGTCTCCCAGTTTCTGGATGAGTTGATCTAGAACAGCAGAGATCCAGATCACAGGAACATGAGCAGCATCTCCATCCATCAGCTCCAGTGGAAATCCAGAGATCATCATCTCTGCTGCGAGACTCGGGAGAGAAGAGAAGTGAACCTGTAGGTCTTTCTTGTTCTCATTAACAGATGAACATGATTCATAGATCTGACCGATCTCCCTCATGATGTGCTCCAAACCAAAGTTTACAGCTTGAAGATCCTCAGACATCCTCTCAAGATCTGCTTGTTCAGCTTTGAGTTGTTCCGATTTATAATGATACTCTTTCCGTTTTAATACTGTTGACCACTTTTCATGATATTTTTGATGTAGATCAGAAATATCAGCTGATGTATATTCATCCAGGAGGATTCTGAGCCATTTGAGGAAAAACACCTTCTCATTTGCAGCATCTGAGTTCATTTCTTTAATGAAGAGCTTCATAAACTCACTGATGTAAGATCTATGCTGCTGTTGACGGATTTTCCTCATCTCTGTTTGTTTTCTTCTGATGTCAGTTTCTATCTCATCTGCTGGAGGTCGATGCAGTTCTTTATTCTTCTGACTCCACTGATGCCACAGTTTCCCCTGATGAGGCAGAAATGATTCTTTGATTTCTGTCAGATCTTTCTTCTCCAGTAAACTCATCATCTGCTGTGCTGCTGCTCTTCCTCTCCTGCAGTCATCATCATCTTCCTCATCTACTCTGATGTCTGAGTGTTTGGACACATCTTTAAGACTGAAAGTGGAAGATGATTCTGAGAGACAAACATTTATAGCTCTATAGAGTTCTTCAGAAACATCTGACTGATTTCTGCCTTTCAGGCCGATTGTGAATTGTCCTGTTTGTGTCTCAGTGACAGTTGAAACATCCTCAGTGTGAAGACAAATGAGTGGCTTTGAGTCCTCATAATATTCTTGAAGTTTTATCATGTTTCTGTCATTACTGTCCAGTCGTGGCAGAAGAACAACATTGACTGAGGCCATTTCAGTGAGGATCTGCAGCTGTTTCTCATGGTCTCCTGCATCACCGTGTAGATTACAGAACGCTACACACTCAGTGAATTTATCATCATATGATCCAGATGGGCAGAACCAGGCGATCTCCACCACTCCATCCATCAGGACTCTGGTTCTGCTGCTGCCTGGGCAGTTCCTGTGGAAGAACGTGTTGTGTTTCTCATTGATCAGATTGTTCATCAGCTGAGACTTGGATGACGACACAGAGCCAAACCTGAAGAAAAACACCATTGGAGTTTCTGCCTTGTAGATCGGCTCTCTTTGACTGATGGCTTCATTGTTGGTGTTTCTGATCTTCCAGCTCTTGTTGATTTGTCTGAATGTCCAGAGAGGAAACTCAATCTGTTGTGTGTCTGGATCAGGAACAAGCAGGGGCAGAGCGTACTGACACTGGGACAGTTTAGTCACCATCAGCTGCTTCAGGAAACCATCAGCACAATGAAACACTGCCATCTGGACATCCATCAGGTGAACAGTGTTTATAAGCTGATTTATTTTAATGTATCTTGCTCTGTAGTTCATCATCAGTAGTTTTTGTATGAAAGTCTGAATCAGCTCATCTACAGCACAAGACTCACGAGACTGCAATTCATGTTTGGTTGTCTGAAGAACATCTGCAGCTCTCAGTTTGTGTCTGATATCAAGATGAAGTCTGTGAAACAGATGCTCTATTTTTCCTCTTTTAGTCTTTTTCTGCTGTAGGTGTTGATGTGGTTGGACTCCTGCTCTTCCAGTACTCTTGTTTTTTCCCTGTTTATTAGACAAAACAAGGACACATGTATTTTATTCACTGTTTTCCAGTAGTGATTTAAACTGTAATTTTATACATTTACTTTCTTACATTTCAGAGTCATATAATCACAGTGAATACAGATCAAGAGGAAAGTCACTGGAAAACCTATATAGTAATATATAATCAAAGACTTTTCTTCTGTACTCAATCATAACACATATTATCAGTTAATTTCTGAATGACTCTGAACTGCAATGAATGTTATTTCTGTTCATCGGAATATCACACCTAAATGTAACATTATGCTAGATTAATGTAGTGACAGACAGCATTTCTCTGAACACTCACCTGTAGAGAATAATCAGGTTCTCTCATGTTTCTTTCTTCTTTCAGTCTCTTCTCTGAATTCTCTAAAGCTGTAAGTGCAATGACAATTATTCTGGTCTGAAAATTCAGAGGTTGTGCATTCAAACCCTGCACAGATATGCTGACTGTTTGACCTGTAATTGGTGAAATGTCATTGTTGGCTTGGAGATGTAATTACCTTTATGTTTGTCCTGTAACTGTTCAGCCAGATGGTTTTCTTCCATCTTCCTCAGGATGTCCAGTGTGATCTTCACAGCTCCTTCTTGTCCACGACGTGCCACCATCAGCTCCACTGTATCAGTGGCATCTGCCTTCTCCACATCAGCAACTGAAGCAATACCATCATTCTTTAAGTGCCATTTAAACTTCTTCAGTTTTGTACTGTCTAGACCCTCCAGTGTGTCTAGAAGCAGGTGTGGAACAGATGTCATCTTCTGTCACTGATTCACTTCTGTTGAACAAGAAGAAAAAGATTTGTCCTTTTACCATACTGATACTACAACACCGAGAACAGCAGTTCTACAAACATGATGACAGTATGTTAGAGTGCAGATAACATCTGACTGAAGTAAGAGACTGATTCATTTGATTCCAGGCTTGTTTCTTACACAATACAGGTAGATAGGGATGTGGTGAACTTTTTGTATACACAAATTAACCAAATCAATAATAATTTAATAAACAACACTCTGAATTACTAGTCATTTCACCATACGACTAAAACTAAGATGTCCACCATGTGAAATCATGATCAGCCTTTCATGCAGTGATCTGATAAGATGATCGTTTAGTGCCATCTGCTCATCTGTTTACCAATTCCTTTACAAACAACCATAATAGTAAGCAAATTAATCTTTTTTTCAAAGCAATGTTCCCTCTAACTTGCTGAGCAAAACATCAGTACAAAGCATGTAATATTAAAATATCCTGTCATATGCACTTTAATTCGAATGCTTCATCAGTCATCTGCACCGAAGCTGCTTACGGGGTAACTGGGGTAAAATATGCGTTCAAACCGTGACACTGGCCTATTGACTTGTTTGTCTGCTCAGTTTTTACTCAAAATATTGTCTACTTTAAGTCAAATTGTGTATTGGGGTAAAATATGCGTTCAAACCGTGACACTGGCCTATTGACTTGTTTGTCTGCTCAGTTTTTACTCAAAATATTGTCTACTTTAAGTCAAATTGTGTATTGGGGTAAAATATGCGTTCAAACCGTGACACTGGCCTATTGACTTGTTTGTCTGCTCAGTTTTTACTCAAAATATTGTCTACTTTAAGTCAAATTGTGTATTGTTAGATATAAAATAATAATAATAATGATAAATAATAATAATAGTAAGAATAATAACCATAAAAAAAGAAAGAAAAAAAACATTTTGAGGATTTTCAGAGATTTCAGAATTTTTGCCTCAACAATTAAAACTTTAAAAAATATCTTTGATAATATACATATTTTCTTATTTGCTACTGAGAATAAGTTAATGTAAGTTATGACTTTAAATGATTAAAAAAGTACTTGCCAGATCTCTCACTGTCTCAGATCCACTTGATGCTTTCTACTTCACCACATGCATGAAAACAACTTAAGAAACAACCGAGGAAAGTAGAAAAACAAGCCATTTCAGCAAAACAAGTGAAACTGGTTTTCAGGATGAGTCATGAGCAGGCGGACTGGGGCTAAAGAGTGGCCCTGGAGTTTCTGGCACAGAGCCGGTTTACACCATAAACCCACCAGCTCATTACACACAGAGCAATTTATAACACCACTTACTAACAGAAAAATATAACACAATACAATACAGAAATATAAATGCTACCTATTTTTTTATGAAATGGCATAGATCTTTACATTATAATTTGTGTTTTCTGCATGGTGTATTAAGACAAATAGAACAAAATTTAGAATAATTTTTAAACAGCTTTTACATAGAGGAACAGTTTAATATCACTAAAGTTAAAAACCTACCATAATATCAGTCACATGACACAATGCTCTGCTTTGCTCTAGAAGACTTGGAATAAAGCGCAGAATGTGGACTGTTTTTATGGTGCCTTTCTCTTAAATTTGTCCTTTTTCAGGAGCTTGACATCTCCTGTCATTTTATAGAATAGAGCTACAATTTCGGAAAAGAGTATAAAAATTATTCTGATGATGAAAAATACAGTAAACAGTAATTCTAAGAAATATACAATGTTATAATTTAATTTAAACATGCTTTCTATGTGAATATCTGTTAAACTGTAATTTATTCCTGTGCTCAAAGCTGCCGCCTCGGGAGGTTCTGCATGTGGAAGCCGCCACCTCGGGAGGAGCTGGAGCCGACGCCGCTGCCTCGGGAGGAGCTGGAGCGGAAGTCGCCGCCTCGGGAGGAGCGGGCTCTGGAGCGGACTCATGGACTGGAGCGGGAATTGGAGCGGACTCTAGTAATGGGCACTTTCGAAGCACTGCTTCATGAAGCTTCGAAACCCTTGCGAATCCTTTGTTTCGAAACAATGGTTTGAAGTGCATATTAAACTGCCAAATTCAAGTGATTTCAGCAAACAAGGCTTCGTTACGTCATAACTGTTTCGAAATGTTTTGAAATTTCAATTTCAATCCAATTTCCAGATGGGGGCAATGATTTCTGTGAATCCGTGAATCATGTCAGTTCACTGAGATCTCCCCCCAGTGCTGATCCACTGAACCACGTCTATGGTTTCTACCTGATCTCGGATCAGTTTGATCAATTTGTAGACATTTTTAACGAGACATTTGTGTAATTAAAAGGATGAGAAATTGTTAATAGTCTCTTATTGCCCTGATTAGACAAGCTCTCCATAAAACAAACAAAACAAATTAATATAAAATAATTTTAAAAACTCATATTACACAGACACTTCATAATTAAAGGTGTTTTATTATTTTTATTGCATTTAATGTATTATACTTTCAATAAAAATTGTGCAATGGGTTTGTAAAAGCTGTTTTTATTCCTGTTTTGGCCTGAGTTTTGATGCATTTACAAAGTTTTGACCAGCAGATGTCACCAGCGTGTGGTGTTTTGAGCTCTTCTAAACCATCATTTTGCGAAGCAATTGGTTCAATTGATTCGATGCTTCAAAAATTTGTGTTTCTCCCATCACTAGATCAAACACCAGCAAACAACAATATCCAGGGCAAGACAAAGGAGTAAACCACAAAAACAGGCAAAGGTCAGGGCAGGCAGCAAATTATCAAAAACCAGGAGAACAGTTTAAAAAAAAACAAAAAAAAAACATGCAAGGCAACGCTCAGTAGTGTCCGCTGTAGCAAAACAAGACTTCGCAATGAGAGTGTGTTTGTGTGTAGCTTTTATAGTCCACTGATGGGAAACAGGTGTGTCTGTAATTAGTTCCTAGAGTGGGGATTGTGGGAAATGGAGTCTGGGAGGATACGGAGATGGAGACCTCTGGTGGTGAGCGGGAGGAATGACAGGGACCAGATTCACAACAATTTCAAGAATTTCTGCAAGAACTTGTTACAAAGAGATTTCTAGGCATTCTTTTTCTTTTATTCGACACCTGATGTGTGCAGTTTACTTTGCTTGCTTTAAAAAACTTTTTCAGTTGTTTAGTAATATTTTTTTTTTGATTGAAGTCTTTTTTCTGCTGCTATTGTTTTCCTTGGATTTGCTTCTCATCCCATACAATTTTAAGCTTTCCTTGGTTCATTCCATGTTTTATAGGCAGCTTCTGTCGTGCTAATTCAGAGTAGTTTATTTTATTTCAGGACTCCATAGTCCAGGAGTTAGTAATATGAAGCATCTAGAGTTAGTTCTGGCAGGTCACAGGAGCTTGCATCGGTTGACTCTCAGCTGATCCACATCTACCTATAGGAATACAACGCCTATCACGGCATTCCAATATAAGGTCTATTTAGTATTATACGGCAGCTTTATCACTTGCTCAGGAGCAAATTAGACAGCGAAAAAATAGACTATAGGAAGCATACAATCAGGAATTTTGTGATAGGAGTTCTTTTCCCACACAGTTTCTCACATTAATGTCCCAAGCTAATGTCAGCACAGATTCTGCACTTTTAAAAGTTGTACATGATCTTCATATAATCAAAGATTCAGGTAATTCTGCAGCCCTGATTTTATTGGACTTGAGTGCAGCCTTTCATACAATAGATCATGTGATTCTCTTTTTATCACATCTAGTTGGGATCCGTGGGACGGTTTTAAAGTCATTCAGTTCTTATCTTGTAAATAGAGCATTCTCTGTGAAGTATGGTGACTTTGTTTCAATAACAGCTCCCATTACCTGTGGGGTTCCTCAGGGTTCTGTTATTGGCCCTGTATTGTTTTCTTTGTGCATGCTGCCTCTGGGCTCGATTAAAAAAAAAAAAA